TTGCTTTCTATACTAATTGTGGATTCATTTAATTTCAATAATGTTTCTATCTTATTCATCCCTTTGCCAGACCTAAGTTGGGAAACCATTGCCTAATGGCATTTCTAAATAAATTTTCAATTTTTGTGAATAAATGTATTGTGGCCTTGGTTGCTGTCTTTATTGTGACATTTTCATTGTATTTTCAAAAGGTTGCCTGTTTCTTCCAGTGCCTAACACGAATGTTTTCCAAATTAATACAATTCCTATAATTATCAAGGTGTAATTTAACTTGCAGAAATAGAAAAAATAATGTCTGTAATATTTAAATTTATACACATATAATTATTATATTTTAATGTCAACCATTATATGGAGTTCATCAATCAGTACCAAAAGAAAACATGTATTCAGAGTTACAGTTACCAAGTTTATAATAGAAACTTGTTTTTAAAATGGTTACAGAATTGGATGATGCTTTGACATAGTACATGATTTTAAAAAACAGTTGCATTTTTCTCTTCAAGGAATGTCAGCTATACTCTTTTGAAATTGTCAGAATTTTGGAAGTACAGTATAATTTACTCATGGCTTATTGCTCTTTAGCTCATCATTTTCCAACACCTGGTTATAAAGAATCCTCCTTATATGACCATACCCTGTACATACTCCCATCCTGTATTTCCCAGACTCTTCTGTCTTGAGACAAGATATGAAGAAATTAGTAACTTTTTCTGTGTTATTTTCTTATCCTTAATTCATTCCTTTGCTTTTTGGTGATGCAGTTCACCTACTGATTATGTCAAGCCTTCTTGTTTCTAATGTTATTCTTACAAAAAATCTCTGTTGTTAATTTAATAAAATATCTTAGTTCTTTAAAAAGTTTTAATCATTTACATCTAGTATGTTGCTGACATGGTATAAAATACCTCATTGAGCTTTCACTTTTCTGAAGGGGAATTAACTCATCTAGTGTTTGAGTATGTGATGCTGTCTTCTTTCATTGACTTCTTTTTTTTATCCAATAGTAAACAGGCCTTTGTGAACCTACATGTTTGCTCTGGTGCTGTTAAATGGTAGCAGGTAATTCTTATTACTCTCTCTTAAGTAGGTTTCTTAGTTTTGCAGAATATTGTTTTCAGACATTGTGTTCCCAAAATAGACTGGGACCTTTTAATCCCCAAGAATGTTGAAATTAATGTTGCCACTGTTGTTCATTGCTTTCATATTCTATAATTACTACTTGAACCAGCTACTCTGTATTACTTAGGACTTAACAGAGAATAATCCCTCATCTTGTGTGCTCTGGAATTAGCTGTTCCAAGAGCATTTGTTTAAGAAATCACTTCTCTAAGCCTTGTTACATTTAGCAGAACATGAGAAGATACCTTGTAAATATATTTGCAATATGCTAAGAAGTATGTTTTCTTATAGGTATGCACTGTGAGACATAAAAATGCTACTTATGGGATTTCATTTAGGAAGGTGGTGTTCCTGTGTCACTGTATACTAAGGAAACATCATTTGCAGTGATGTATATGAAGGAATATATAGAACATAATAGGAAAAATATAAACACCACCACAGGCAGCTAAGGCAAAACAGCCAAACTGTTGCGAAGAAGAATAAAAAATGTCTTATTTATCTGAAAGGTCATTTGTTTCCCAGTACAGTGATAGTGGCAATGAGGCATGCCTGACCCTGCCATTGGCTCAGCCGTCAGGCCATGGTGTTGATACCACCAAGGTCGTGGGCTCAAACCCTGTATGAGCCATCCATGTAAGAGCTGGACTCGGTGACCCTTGTGGGTCCCTTCCAACGCAGAATACCCTGTCCGATCTGTGACATTTCCTTTCCCCCGAGCCCCGCCCGGCCCGGTGTGCTTGTTCTGCCAGCCGCGATCAGCACCTCGGACAGCGCCGTGCCCGTCCCGCCGCTCCCGGGCTGCGGGGAGCGAGCGGGGGATGCTCCCGGCCCCAGAACCGCTCGGAAAGCTCGGGCCGTGCTCGGTTTCTGCAGCTACCGAGAAGGAGGAACGGCAGGGCCTGGCGGCTGAGTTCTGGGGTAACTGTGCACGCATACAAGAACGCCACACTGATGGAGGGATGCTGTGTGCGGGGCCTTGGGGCTCCCAAAGCGTTGATTGCCCACTGTGGGTGAGTGATATGGGTGGAGGCATCCAGAGGTCAAGGGAATGATGTGTGTCCGAGCGGGCACGATGGACAGAGCAAGGACAGAGGAAGAGGTTGTTACACTACGCTGCTTCCCATTCCTGTCAAGAATAGATGCCAAGTGTGTAAAGTTCCACTTGCACCCCCTGTGCATCAGCATAAGGTTAATAAACTACGACAATGAATAGTTTTCCTCTTGTAATTTTCTCTCAGGCATTGCCCCATTTTAGAGATAGTAGAAAATTCCTGAAAACTCTGAAGAAAATGCTGGCTGTAAGTGTGGGGCATGTGATGTGCAGCTGTTGCCCTCCTCACACTGCATGTATGTAGTTTTTCTGAGCACTGATGTGGGTTCTTCTGTTCATTACACAAAATATGATTGCAACTTCCACTTAGAGACAATGGTGTTACATATTAAATTTTCTTCCTGATTGCTGGTTTGGTTTTTTTTCTCTCTTCAGTTTTAATTTTGGAACAGGTGACTGAAAACAGCCTATTTACTTTCCCCTACCAAATACTCTCTTCTAATTTCTGAGTTGCAAGTAAGACAACGAGATTAACAAATTTTTCACTGAAGTTAATACTGCACATTTGATCTCAGGAGATTCAGAATTTCACTTTAAGTAATAATCTAAGAAAAAGATGTATTTATAGAGTAGAAGAAATTAAAGACCATAACTATAATTAGGGGTTTTGTAATTCCTGTTTAAATATATGTTATATAGGCAGTAAATAGAAAAGGAATACATTCTTAATTTGTACCGAAAAAATACTCCCACTTTCAAATGAGCTTTTGCAACATCAGGAGTAAAATATATCAGATGCCTATGTCTGCTGATAATCAATCCAATTTCCAGAATGAGATTAGGCATCATTATAGACTTTTTCTCTAAGCACCTTTCCCATGGGATAGCAACACAGAGCAGCCATGCAGAGTTAAGATCTGATTTAAAAGAATAATTCATTTTGCAGTTCTGAGACAAGCTAGTTGGGAATTGTCCAGTCCATTTCTCTGGCTACTTACCCGCCCTGAAACTTCCAGAGAAACTATGGCTCCCCAAGTTCCAAGGTGCTCCAGCTGCTTAGGAAGCAAATAGAAGGAGAAAAAGCTGCTTATGATCTTCTGAGAGTAAGATTTGCTTTAGTTAATATATATTTTTGTCCTGGTTAGGGATTAAAGTCCTTTTCTTTAATTTGTAAAATTGTATGTTTCATGGAAGGGTAAGTTTCCTTGGGTGTAAGTTTCAGGCTACATGAATTTCTCTGCAAATTTCTCTTCCATTCTGTGTTGTTTTCATTAAACATATGGGACTGAAAGCTGCATCTGAGCCTGACATCACAAACACTGTCATTGTAAGAGCTTGAGAAAAATATTGTCTCTCAGTGTTTTACACCGTGAAAATATGTTAATATAAAGGTAATTAACTGGAATGCTTAAATGCATGCATTTTTACAAAAGAATTTTTTTTCTAAAACAATCAAAGGACTAATAAAATATTAAGTTTATGCAAGAAAGATTTAAGAGAAAAAACTCCCTCTAATTAAAATGAAAATAAAATGGCACAGAAAAATGTCTCCAGTACAAATTCACTAGTTAAGAGTAAATATTTTGTGGGAGAACAGTCAATATGGGCAACAATACAGTAAAAGAGCAAAAGAAGATGAAGAAATGTATTTAAAAATAAATCCTAATAAAATAAATACGCTTAGAAAGTTAAACTTGTGCTGAAAGTAATAGGGAAAAAATCGAGTTATTTTAAATTGTCAAACCAGACAGTTACCCGGGAGCTTTTAGAACAGAATTCCACTCTACAGCACAAAGCTGTTCTCATGATCGTGTACTGTACATTTATTTAGCCAGCGCGGTACTCTATCGAGTGACAAAGCTGGGGGGAGCAGGTTTTGCTGACCAAGACTCTGGACGTGGCCAGGGGGTTCCCCGGCGCCGCTGCCTCATGCGGCACGGTGAAGTCGCTTCCACGTCCGTGAGGTCGGAAAGTGGAGACTTTGCCATGTCAAACGCTTTGAGAACTCAGGCTGAAAAGTTCTGTATGGGGAAATTAGGGCTTGAAGGGGAGTCATGCAGCGCATGACTCAGGCGGTGGGCTGAAAGGGTTAACTAATCGTCATTAAAAATTACAGTTGACATTTAGTTCTCGGATGGCAGGGAGCTGGCGTGCCGCCGGTCCCCAGCGGGAGCGGGGGGAGCTTGCACGCACGGGGAGAAGGGGCTGCGACTCCTCCAGCGCCAGGGGCTGCCGAGAGCCGGCGGCGCTGCGCCGGGGGTAAGGCAAGGGACGGACAAGTTCCCCGAAGGGGCAGTAAAAACAAACCCCCCCCCCCCTCAGCCTGGGGAAAGGGGAGAAGACGCAGCCTCGCTTGAGAAGGGAAAAAAGAAAAAAAAAAAAAAAAAAAAAAAGAAAAGGTAAATATAGAAAAGCCCCGCGACACGCCACAACGCGCGGTGGTGAAGCGCGCTCCCGCCCGCCCGCTCGCTGCCGTCGCTCGGTGGCCGGCCCCCACTGGGTCCCCTCTCGGTCCCCGCTGGGTCCCCGCTGGGTCTCCGCTCGGTCCCCGCGTCGCCCCCGCCGCCCGCCGGGCCCGCCCGGCCGCTGACGGCGCCGCCCTCGGCGCAGGCGCATCCGGGGCGCGGGGGGGCCGGAGCGGCGCCGCGCCCTCGCTCCGCGTCCCGGGCGGTGTCTCAGCGCAGCCATGTCTGGCGGCGCGGGGCGGCGAGGAGCGCTCGGGCGGCGGCGCCCTCAGTGAGGCGGCGGCGGCGGCGGACGAGCGGCGGCGGCGGGCATCCATGTCGGCGGGCTGGGATTAGCGCGGCGGGCACCCAGCCGAGCGGAGGGGGCGGCCGGCCCGTCGCCCCCTTCCCGCGGGGTCTCCGGCGGGAGCGAGCCGTACCCGGCTGGCGGGGGCGGGTGGACATGGCTGACCGGAGCGCGCCGAGCTGCCACCTGCGGCTGGAGTGGGTCTACGGCTACCGGGGTCATCAGTGCCGCAACAACCTCTACTACACGGCCGCCAAAGAGATCGTCTACTTCGTGGCGGGGGTCGGCGTGGTCTACAGCCCCCGGGAGCACCGGCAGAAATTCTACCTGGGGCACCAGGACGACATCATCAGGTACCGCTGGCGCCGCGCCCCCGGGCCGCATCCCGCCGCGGGCTCCGACCGTCCCGGCCCCACAGCCCGGCTCGTCCCCCAGTCGCTCCTCCCTTCCCCCTGGAGCGGGGCGCGAGTGTTCCCCGGTGCCGTTCCGGGCAGCGCCGGTGGTGCGCGTCCCGCCGGTGCTGTGGGGATCCGGGGGTCGGACCGAAATACATCAAGGACAGCCAGCGCTTCCTCACCGCCCCCCCCGCCCGGGCTTCGCCGGGGGTAGAAACAGCCTGGAAATGGCTTTTAGCTGTCGGATTTAATCAGCCGCGCTGTGTGGCCCCCGCTGCCGCCGGTGTGCGGTGCCGTAACTCGTAGGGGCGCCTGTGCCCGGCGCGGCAGCCCCAGGGTCGCCGCTCGGTGCCCGGCCGCCCCTGAATGTCAAAGGGCCGGCGGGAGGAGAAGCATTAATCGCGTGTGTTCCCGGAGCTCTCGGGCTGCGGAGGAGGTTAATCTGTAGCAGGTAGACCTTTGTCTGGTGTTTAAAAGGCGACGATTACATGGGGAATTAGTGGCCTGCCTGTAACTCACGCAACTTTTAGGGTAATCTTAAAAGAACAGCCTTTCTTGAGAAGTTGCGGCTTCTTCTGTAGCTCAGTAGTTCATTTGGCCGGGAATGTTACCAGGTGCTGAGTCCATTAAAAAATTAATTATAAACTGATACTGCAAAAGAAGTGTGCTGGTATGATTTCTTATATGTCTTTCCACTCCAAGGATGCTTTTGTAAGCCTAGTGGTGTTGTGAGATCAGTAAGAGAATTTGAGGAGTATGAAGGGCAGATGTAAGCCTGAGTCATCAATCTTTTCCCTTACAGTAGGTGTCATTGCAGATGGATTTTAAATTCTGATTTCCTTTGGTCTTCCTATTGGGGTAAGAGCTAGTAGTAGATACTTTTGTAGGTTTTTTGAATGTTTAACAGTACAAAATTTGTTTTTATGATCCTTAGTGCTCCAAGGCATACCTCTGTATGTGTTACTCATGAGTAACAGGTATTGCCTGTAGAGAGCAGAATAGATGCTATGTCTTTCATTTAAGCTTTTAGACACACTAGAAAACTTGGTCATCATGGCCACTTTTTTCCTTTGTTTAGATCTTTTGGAAGGAATTTAAATAGCTCTGAAGTATGGCTGTGAATGTTTCTAAGAAGGGTGTCACTTCCATAGTATATTTCTCTTTGGTGCTAGATATGTGAATAGAACGTAGTCAATGTACCACGGTAGAGTGTCATACTAGGGGTGTTGAGTCAGGAGTTTGAATCACTATTATTTGCATTGCTTTATATTTTAACATTCTCACTTTGATCCAGGAAAAACTGTTTTCTTAAGAGCTGCTAGCCACCTGTGATGTCAGGTGCTGTGGGAAATCCAGATCTGCACCTTGCTATTGTGCTCGGGAAGCGGTGGCTCCCGCTCGTTCCGAGGTCGCGGCAGTGTAATATTACACATTTAATACCATCTATTCAGCAGGGCTTCCGAGTGACACTGCTTGTTTCAGTAGCACTTCTTGTAGCAGAAGAATTAAATGGTTTGAGCTACAACCGGACAAGTTTTTCCGTTTGCATGTGGTAACAGTTTCTTGCTCAGTCTTTCTCAGTTTTGGTACAGTGTGCTACATTTGGCTAAAATGTGACAGAATTGTTTAGAATAGTACTAAACAAAAAAAAAAAAAAAAAACCCACAGAACCCAACAAACAAACAAAAATCTGCTGTAAGTCAGCTAACTGGAGAGAAAGTGTGTCTGGTTTGTGTATGTACTTTGATTTGAATGATACCATGGCCCTTTCAAATATAGCAGTTTCTTCTGCTCTGGAATGTATTGATGCGAGAATATAATTCTAAGTATGGTAAGTATGCAGTTAGAATTTTGCATGGTTCTTAAATGCAAAAGCTATACAGAAATATCAGCATGCATAAAGAGGAATGCTTGGTTTAAAAGCAGTGTGGCTATTTCTAATAGCACAATTACTTGCTACTTTCTCTGAAATGCAATGTGGTACCATTTAAATGCCATCTCACACTTTTGCTGACTAAACTTGAGTATCTAAACATGTTAGTTCTTAATATTTAAAGGAGACATAGGAAGGTCGAATATTAAAAAAACAACAACAAAACCCAAAGCCCAAAAAACAGGAATTGGATTATATAATATAGTAATCAGTGTTGCTAAATTTTCCCTCTGAAGATAAACTCAACTGTTGTATTGGAAAAGAATGAATAGATTTTGTGCTTCAGCGGTCTCAGCAAGTACTGTGCATGCTGAGATATTTGGGATTTTTTAGTGAAAGCAATGGGAGGATTAAGTGTCTTTTTACAAGTATGGGGTCTAATTTGTGAAAGCAGTTCTGGAGTCTGAAAATCTTATGTATTTAAAGAATCAAACTTTCATGAGCCTAGCTCCATAGCTACAGGGACTAAGCATAAATATTTCTCACTACATGGTGATATTATTAGTGCTCTTCATTACGAGAACTTTTATATTGTTATCATTCTTTGGATGACATTATAATTGTAAACATCAACCAGGAAAGATGTAGTTCTTAAGTCAGAGACCATTTCTTTAGTAGTAGAAAACAGTATTGGAGTAATGGACAGTCATAGGACATTTTCCATTGGAAATTTCTAACACTAGCATTTAGTTTTTGTTCTGCTTTGAGGTTTTATCTGCTTTTGTTAAATGAAACCCTGTTAAATGAAACCCTGCTGTATTATTTTTATATGATTAGGTGTTTTAACATGATTTGTTTTCAGTATGAGTGTCTAATCTTAATTTTAATCGTGGTGTCCACACCCCAAACTCCTCAGCCTCAGTTAACTGTATAGTAAAAGTAAGAAAGCTCTCTTTCAGTGTTTTGTCCCTCAGATCTATTGAAAACTCTTTTGGACTAAAAGAGGATAATGAGGATAATTTCAAACATCTTTTGTTAGTCTGTTTTGGTGGTTTGTTTGTTTGTTTGGGGTTTTTTTTTTTTAATTTGAACAATCTCAGTTGTATTCCATTTTTTAAAATACTTTTCTTGTGAGCTGGTGAGCTTTTGCATTTTATGGATTTTTTTATATCTCATCTAAGAATTATTTTCCAGAAATTAGCTCACTATCCTGGAGGATACAGTTACATGTTTTCAATCTTGTCTCCCATTTCTTATTCATTTGCATATATTTGTGGTTGAGGTCCAGGAATGTATGCAAACACATGTGGAAAGTATCAGCTGCAGAAATACTTTGGAAATTTGCATCTTTCAGGAGTGCAGTTAATTGAGTTTCTTATATTTTTCAGGAGTAAATAAGGAGAAAGATCTTGTACATGAAATCTCAGGTGACTGGCTTTGATCTGTTGCCAGCAGCATAACTTGGATGTCTGCTATGTTTGTGGAAGAAAAGTTCCCCTGTCCAAGCATGGCTGTGTATGTGTGGGAGATACTATTACTGAATGAAAATGCAGGTTTTTCCTACAAAGCTACTGGTTTCAAGTGTGTGTTCTCTAGGATTTCATGCATCACCAAACTAGCTTGTGATCTGTAGAATGGTTTGCTTTCTGAGGAAGAAACAGTGTCTTGTTGTGTTCAGGTTAGATCTTAACTTTGTTCTCTCCATAATTTTGTTGGTTTAGAGGATCACAGGGTTTTTGATGTTGGCTGATCTTCCCATTTCAGAGACACCTTAGGGGGATTGTATTTAAATCTGATCTCAATCAAGATTTCAGAAGATGCCCCCTCAGAGTTTTAACTTGTCGTACTGTAAAATTCATACTCATGTTGAGACTCCTTATTTGTCTGGGCCAGCCAAAGCGTATTTGTGTATTTAATTTTTTTTTTATATGAGAAGATTGGAAATCCTGAACTTATCCACCTTTTTAAAAGGCAATTTACTGGCAAAAGCCTTTGATGTCACTAGGACAATTGTCTATTCTGATGTGCTCCAAGGAGACCACTGACATGCTCCAAGGTGACTTGTAGAATAATTTTTCCTTTTGATTTATTTTTTTGCTCCTTCCCTTCCTTCCCTTCCTTCCCTTCCTTCCCTTCCTTCCCTTCCTTCCCTTCCTGTGACCATCTTTTCCTTTTTTGCTTCAAAGTACAGGAATTTTACTGGGAATTAACTTTTCATCTGACATTGATGAAAAATAATTGAAATAATAAACCAAATAATTGGAAAATAAAACAAAAACGTAAGGTTAAACCAATGCATCTCTTTGAGAGCTTTAGTAGACTTGGGAAAATTTTATATTCTGCTTTCCATGATTCTTGATTTCAGACTTTAGCACTTATTTGTAATTCTCCTTTTGCACCATTACCTTTATGCTGGCACAAAACAACCACATAACTGTGCCAGTCACAGAAAGAAGAATTATGTTTCTCTGTCAGAAGGAAACAAATGAGGAAGAGTTGTTATCTGTCCTACTTTTTTAATATCCATTATGTGAGCTAGCTGGCAAATAATAGTGCTGCTTTTGTATATTCTTCCTAGAACTTAATCACTGTGACTACTTGATTAAGATGCTTGTGGTAGGTTTTATTGCTTAAGGTAGTAGCTGGCACATTTTATGCTAGTAAGAACTCTTGAATCTCTGCTGATAATGGCATTTATGGCTCTGCTGTTGAGCAACTCTAAGCTGTATCTAAGTGAATTTCCCTTCTTGTCTGAAGTCTGTATATTTTTCCTTGTCTTGGACTAAGTTGAGGGGAAGAAATCATCTATCATTTGTCCCAGGACTCATGCAGTGTTCTGCTTTTAGGGCAAACATAACTTAAAATATTATTCAGAAAACATTGAAATTCTTTACTATTAGGAGTTCTAGTACCAGAAACTAACCAATACTATACTACAAAGACAGAGGAGAAATAAATGCTTGTACTTTGTGTTTAGTTAAAACTTGGTCATTTTCCCCTTTGTGCCCCTCTTGGTCATTTGCCCCTTTGTGTATCCAAGACTGTAGAGAGGTAAATTGCATGTTTACAGAGAGCAGAGGAATAT